GTGGGCAAGGTTGGACACAGGGGCTTGGATCAACCTGCTCCAGTGGAAGGTGTCCCTGCCCGGGCCAGGGGGTTGGAGCTGGAGGAGCTTTAAGGTCCCTTCACCCAAACCATTCCATGGTTCTATGATGCTGTGACCAGCACCACTGTTCCTGTTTCGCAGACAGGATCTGCTGTATCCAGCCCCTCTGGGGCTCTGTTGAAGCACCCGAGGAGCTCTGGGGCTGGCTCATCGCTGACAGCGCCAACAAGCCCGTGCCACGCTCTGTGCCCGCCTCGTCCCTGCCACCGGCCCCTTGCTCACAAGCTGCATTATGTGCTATCGTCTTTGCTTGTTTGTTTAAAGGCTCTCCCAGCAGAATAGCCCAACGAGCACGTCCCGTGTCTCCAGGCTGATGGTGCTGGGTCCCGGTGCTGTGATTTGCCACTTGCGCCTGAGCAAACAACCCCGGGTCTGTGTTATCTGTGTGTGCCTTGGAGATGGATGCCCCCACGGTCTCTGGGTGCTGCTGACCCCATGGCCTCGCTGGGGCCGCCCTGGGGGTCACCCCGCTGCTGGCTGGCCAGTGAACCCCTACTCACCACAGGCTTTGCTCACGCAGTAGACAGAAGGCACCCAGAGGTTGGAGGAGCCCGTGTCAAACACCACGGTGAAGTTCTGGGGGGGGGTCCCAATGGAGATCTGCCCAAAATACTCCATCTAGCACAGAGTGGAACAGAAACCACCATTAGGCATTGGCACACCAGGAAACGCTGGCAAAGGGGAGCCTGTGCTGGGATATCTGGAGAGGACGGATGGGCTCCGTGTGGGGGATGGCTGGCACCAGGGCAGCGCTTGATCCGTCACAGCCACATGGTGCCAGGCGGAATAAAGGAGACAAGTATTTAAGGAACAACAAGGCAGGATGGTTGGCGCAGGGGCCGTCACCTTCCTGCTGGGTTCCCAAGAGAACCCTCATCACCGGGATGCAGACAGCGGCAGGGGCTCTGGGGACAGGACCTGCACGCTGCTGGTGAACGGGATGGACCTGAGCTGGTCCTTTGTGATGGGGTCTTCTCTGGCGGGTGTGATACGTGTTAGCCTTGGAGGAACTGTCTCCTTGCTGTGTGCCTGAGAGCGCTGCGGGCTCGGGGTCGCAGCAGCCAGCTCTTGCCATGAATGTGCCCTCTTGTCCCTTGCCGTCGCCACATTCCCA